GAGTATCTAGGATAATAAGCATGACACCAGCACTTGGCTCACATGCATTTTTGAAACTAAAAGTATTTTAAGCCCCAACATGAAAAATGAGTAGCTGGCACTGGTGGCTTATATCTATAATTTGAGATATTCAGGAGATTGAGATCTGGAGGATCATCATTCAAGTCCACTCTGAGCAAAAACATGTCACTGAGACTCCATCACCCAAATAACTGGCTGGGAAGCATGGCTCAAGTGGTAAAATATCAGCCTAGCAAGCCAGAGGCTCTCAATTCAAATCCTAGAACCAACAACAAAATGTAGCTGAGATGACTTTGGACTTGACAGTTTTGTGGACTGAACCGTCTCTGAACCCATAAAGAGCCAGTGGGCAAAACAAAGGTCCCAGGTGACCCACTTGGTATAATATTCACTCTGTTCCATTCACCAGGATCTCTCCCCCACAGGCACCAACCTACATATTTGGAGGCTTTTTTCCCTTTGCTCTCCTTCCTCAAGAGTTCAGGCTCCCCTTGTGCATCTGTGGTGATCTCCTACAGAGCCAAAGCAAAGATCCCATCACTACACCCCAAGTGGTATGTAGAATAACAAAGGAGCAGTTAGGGAACACCCCAGGAGGTGAACACCCCCTAGAAGACACCATTGTGTCTTCTAGGTCATCTTGAGACCCTAGAATGTCTAATGTGTTGTCTAGGCAGCCACAAAAATGGAAGTAGACTGGTGCCCTGTGCAGACAGCACAGAGGCTGTCTGAGAGGCAGAAGGACACACCACGGGTATAAATTCATCTTGGCACACATTGTGATGCAGGAGAAAAATGGTAGGGTGGGGACTGGGGTATGCAAAATGAGGAGTAAATGCAGAGAAAAAAATTGCAAAAGTAAAGAATAAAGCACACATGTCTCCCCTGTTTTGGAAGATTATATACAAATAGTATTTCTCAGGAGTTAGCCTAAAATGCACGTAACTGCCGGGTGCTGGTGGCTCACACCTGTAATCCTAGCTACTCAGGAGGCTGAGATCTGAGGATCACGGTTCAAAGCCAGCCCGGGCAGGAAATTCCATGAGACTCTTATCTCCAATAAACCACCAGGAAACCAGAAATGGTGCTATGGCTCAAGTGGTAGAGTGATAGCCTTGAGCTGAAGAGCTGAGGGACAGCACCCAAGCCCAGAGTTCAAGCTCCACGACCAACCAACACACACACACACACACACACACACACACACACACACACACACAAACACACCACTTCAAATCCCCATCCTCACTCTGATCCTGAAAGATTACTATAAAACTAGAGATGAGAATAAGGCAGTTTGATCAAATGATCATGGCCTCAGACATGTGAAATTTAAGTGTAGAAGAAGGAAGAAAATTCATAGACCGGGCCAGGGCCTTCCAGGTGTCCCCCTTCCCTGTAATATCTCCTCAAATCCAAGAGGAACAGCAGACCTTGTGTCCCAGGGGAGGAAGAGAGAATCTCCAGAGCTTCAGGAGGAGTAGAACAAAACATAGTCATGAGTTGCCTGGTTTTAGGAAAGAATTAGTGCCGTGTACATGCGTGTGTGTGTGTGTGTGTCCATGAGTGTGTGAGTGCACTTGTGAGTGTGTATGCATGTGCATGCACTAGTACTGGGGCAGGGCCTGGTTTTAGGAAAGAATTAGTGCTGTGTACATGCGTGTGTGTGTGTGTGTGTCCATGAGTGTGTGAGTGCACTTGTGAGTGTGTACGCATGTGCATGCACTAGTACTGGGGCAGGGCCTGGGTACTCTCCCTTAGCTGTTTCATTCAAGGCTACCACCATAGCATGTGGGCTCCAGCTCCACTTCTGGATTTTTGCTGATTAATTGAAGAGTTTCTCTTTGACTTTCCTGCCTAGGCTGTCTTTGAACTGCAGTCCTTAGATTTCAGGCCCTTGAATGACTCTAGGATTACAGAAGTGAACCACCAACTTCACTGGAATATTTATTACTGACTTAGTAAGCCAAACTAGTCCTAAGTCCTAGTGCCATCTTCTCCCCTCCCCCCATGAAGGGAGCCTGCTTTGTTCCATGAGAAGAACTTAAAAAGTGAGAGGAATCTGAGGTTTATATAGTGAATTTGAAGATTAAGTCTTAAAATGGCATAATCTCTCCCTGGGTTACAATTCCACTATGGAGACTTTTTTTTTGTTCTCAAGAATTGTCAGTCTCAGATTGACAGCTGGGTTTGACTCCAATCCTGACATTTTCTTCTTCTGTTCGTGGTCATGTTCTATCCTGTCATTTGTGAGCACTGGTATGGGAACAGTTGGCCATCAAAGGAGAAGGAACTATGACCAGTTTGGTGGAAAGAAGAAAGCCCAAGAGCTCTCTAAAAAGGCAAAGAGATCTTGGTCAAAGAAACAGCAGTGTGGCATATACTTCCTGCTGTCCTTTCTTCCCAGGTCAGCATTCTAGCTTCGGCAAGCCCTCTGCCCCTCTGCTCCTGGGGTAATTTTGCAGCCCTAGGCAGATATATGTTTGAACCGAGATGTAGCCCAGGGAGAAGGAAGTAAACACTCCTTGGCAGCTATGGGGGGGGCAGCATTTTAGATGTCTAACCTGACAGAAGGATTTTTAAGGGACACTTTATTGAGGAGATGGTCTCAGGAGAAGGAAGTACAAGAAACAGACACGTACATGGAAGGAATGTAAGCAAAGTTGTAGTTCGGGGAGGGTCATGCCTCAGGCTGATTTCATGGGAAGCTTTGTAGCATGAATTGTAATTGTACCAGAGTTGTCCCATTCAGAGGCACAAGGAGTGGACTAACATTCACAGTCATTTGTCATTGGCTACCCCAGGCTATACCAAGGGGAGGCATTCATGTCCACAACCCTCAAGGGTAGCCCTTCCTGTCAACCGCGGGCAATCTACCAGAGAAGGGTGTAGATATGAACCCTCATGGTAAATGCTTGGGTCAGCTGGGATCTGGCACTCTTAGTGTGGTAACAAGGATCTAAGCAAGCACCAACCACAACCACTACATCAGGCATGATAGTTGGAAATGAAATTTAAATCCTAGTTATGTCTTCTTAAAATATCCTTTTTTTCATGAAAGCTTCCTTGATTCTTACCCTGGAAGAGTAAATTGTGAGACTTTCATTTAACAGGATTATCTTGAAGCTAAAGGTCAACAAACCTATTTACTTGGAGGAAAGGTAGAATTTTACTCACATCCAAGTTCAGCTTGGTCAAGTTTTAGTGCAAGTTGAACCTGGGTTTTTAGATTCCAGGCCCAAAGTCTAGGAGTCTCAACTTAGGGCTGTTCACTTACCCCATATGCCAAATAAAGAGATGGAGAAAGATTTATTGCATGGAAGCATGAGAAGACAACATTCCAGTACATCTTCACCTGTCTTCAGAGGTACAGACATTAGAGGTACAGAGGTACAGAATTATGGGGAAGGAGTGAAAACAATATGCATAACTGAAACAATCCCAGTCTAAACCATGGCCTCATTGACTATCAACATGGGTTGGGGCAGAGACAATCAGTCATGGAACCAAGGTACATCCATATTAGTGGATCATACAATATGTTTTTGTATGTTGGCTTATTTCCTTTAACACATGGTGTCTTTAGAGTTTATCTAAGTTGTACCAGGCATCGGGATTTCATAAAACTGAATTTCACATATTATATCTGTATACTGTGGTTTTATGGAGGACCAGAAGCTGTTTTTTGTAATATTGTGATTCTTCCACCTATAAAGGACCAGTTCCATTATTTGAGTTAAACACACCCATCAAGCCTACCAGGATTAAAGTAGAAGCTGTGCCTGGAGCCAGTGGTTCACACCTGTAATGCTAACTATTCAGGAGGCTGAAATCTGTGGACTGAGGTTCAATACCAGCCTGGGTAGGAAAGTCTGTGAGGCTCTTATCTACAATTAACCACCAACAAATCAGATATGGAGCTGTGGCTCAAGTGGTAGAGCACCAGCTTAGTGCAAACAAACTAAAGGATACCACCTAAGTCCTGAGTTCAAGCCCCAAAACGAACACAAAATTAAAATAATAAAAGAATGAAATGAAATGGCAGCTGTGTGCCATGACCTCCTATTCTCCTCCTGTTGCCAGCTGTTAGCACAATCCCTAGCACATTATATAAGTTCCCAGTTGTTATATATTGTGCTAGGCCCTGGTTGCTCATGCCTATAATCCTAGCTACCCAGGAGCTCTGAGATCACAGTTCAAAGCCAGCCTGGGCAGAAAAATATTTTGACACTCTTATGTCCAAATAATCATCAAAAAGCCAGAAGTAGAGCTTTGGTTCAAGTGGTATAGAACCGGCCTTTGGTGAAATAGCTAAGGGACAGAGCCCTGGCCCTGAGTTCCAGCCCCAAGACTGGCACACACACACACACACACACACACACACACACACACATACACACACACATATACACACGAAGAAGAAGAAGGAGAAGGAGAAGGGGAAGGGGAAGAGGAGGAGGAGGAGGAGGAAGGAGGAGGAAGAAGAAGGAGGAGGAGCAGGAGGAGGAGGAGGAAGAAGAAGAAAAAGGAAAGAAAAGGAAAACAGAAAAAGCAACTCTTCAAGCAATACCTAAGGCACTGTCAGGTTGCCATTCAAATAGGCAAGCAAGTGTATAAGACTCGGAGTTCAAGCTCCAGTAGCAGAAAAAAAATGTGTAACTACCAGTCCCATCCACAATCATTCCTTCCTTCTTATTTGAACCTACTACTGTTAAATTTTTTTCTCTTGATGTAATTCCAGGAAGTGGCACTGTGGCTCAACTGGTAGAATGCTAACCTTGAGCACAAAGAGGTTCAGGGACAGTACCCAGGCCCTGAGTTCAAACCCCACAACCACCACCAACAACAAAAGTTATAATTCCAGATGTATTCTGCCATCTTGGTACCTGAGCTTATGTAGACAAGCTTCTCAGAAAGTTCATTTCTCTAAGTTGCCCATTCCCTTCTAATTTGGCCGGTGTCTGCTTTTCTCTCCACAGAAGTCAAAGACTATGAGCCTCCTTTTGGTTCCAAGGTACGGGAGCACCCTTGTGTGGAAAGCATGAAGGACAATGTGCTGAGGGATCGAGGGCGACCAGAAATACCGAGCTTCTGGCTCAACCACCAGGTAAGGAGTGACAGCTCTGAGGGAGCTTTGTGACTAGGAGAGAATTTTGAAGAATGGGCTTAAACAACAAGGCAGGTCCCTTTGTACATTATAATGGACCAAATAACTCTTGACTGTATCATAAGTTACAGTCGATCACCAGGTATATACAGCACCCTAAAACATCAGGAAGACATTGGGTACATTTTTATTTTCCCAGTTTCCCCTGCTTCTCCCCCTTCTATTGATTCTGGGTTGAAGTATTTTGCCTCTGCTTTTCACTTCCAAACCAGGAGTTTTTAATCTCAATCCATTTGCTTTCCCAAATGTTTTCCTCTGGGGTTCTTCCACTTTGGGAGGAAACACTTCATAATTGCAAACAAGCAGGACTATCAGGTAAGTGGACTGAGAGGTGACCGCTGGATGCAAGGTCTACAAGCTTTGCGCATGAGGCTTGGAGGCTGCAGGTGCTCACATGAGGAAGGAGCTTCACTCACCCCTAGAACAGAAAAGTGAAGGCTTTCTGTTCCATGGAGGAACAGAAAACCTGCTCACTTGCTGCAACTTAATGGCTTCTCAGTTTTCCTTTCCAAGAAACAGAAGCTGCTGGGAACCAGTGTCTCATGCCTGTGGCCCTAGCTTCTCAAGAAGCTGGTATCTAAGGATCATACTTTGAAGCCACCCTGGGCAGAAAAATTAGTGAGACGCTTATCTCCAATGAACCAGCAAAAAGACCAAAAGTGGGGCTGTGTTCAAGTGGTAAAGTTCTGGCTTTGAGCAAAAAAGCTAAGGGAGAGCACCTAGGCCCTGAGTTCAAGCTCCAGAGTTGGCACAAAAGGAAAAAGAGACCTGGGCAGCAGTGGCATACACTGTAATTGTAGCTACTCAGGAAGCTGAGACCTGAGGATCATGGTTAGAATCCAGACCAAGTAGGAAAGTCTGTAAGACTTTTATCTCCAGTTATCCACCAAAAAGCCAGAAGTGGAGCTGTGGTTCCAGTAGTGCAGTGCTGGCCTTGAGTTCAAGCCCAGAAAGGAAAAAGAGAGAGAGGGACTTATTTACAATAATTAGTATATGTCTGGAACAAGCAGAAAAGGTCAAAAGCTATGTACATATGACCAGATAAGATGATGTTAAGAGAAATAAGCCCCAAGATAGGGACACAAGTGGTTTTCTCTTTCTTGCTATTGTTTCTAACATATTTATAAGGTACCATGTGATTTTTTTTTGTTGCATTGTACGTTCTTCCCCCATGGTATAACCCCTGTTTTCACTGTATTTGATGTTGCTCTAACTTGGGGAGGGGAAGGGAAAAAACAAAATGTTTAAATAGGGATACAGGTTGACCCATTGTAACAATGAGATGTACAAGACACTATGTTGAAAAACGAACTTTATAATTTAGGCGGTGGTGGGGGAAATGTAGTTGTGGAAGTGGGAGGGCAGGGATGGTAGGGAGAAAAAAAAGGAGGAGGCAACAATACTTGATAGGAAATGTAGTCATTACCTTGCTCATGTAACTGTAACCACTCTGTATAGTATTTTTACTATACTTATTTAAAAAAAGAAAGGGGGTTGGGAAAAAAACAAGAGAGAGGAAAAGAAAGGAAGAAAGATAAAAGAATAAATGGAAGAAAAGAAAGAAAGAAACAGAAACAAAGAAACAAAGAGAGAGAAAAGAAGGATGGAAGGAAGGAAAGAAGGAAGGAAGGAAAGAGAGGGAGGGAGGGAGGGAGGAAGGGGAAAGGGAAAGGAAAGGAAAGGGGAAAGGGAAAGGAAAGGAGAAAAGAAAAGAAAAACAGGGCTTTCAGGGAAGCACACTGGCCTAGGGATCCAGGAAGGACTATCTGAACTCTGCATTCAGGGACACTTGATGAAGGCTATGATTAGATTTTTTAAAAAATATAGGTCATGAATAAGAGAAAAATGGTAGAACTCTGACACACCCAGGAAACAGTCCTCATTGGAGAAGGAAGAGAACAGCACTTCCCTTTCTCACTGGCAGATAAACTCTTTATTGCCAGTTTTGGATGAATTCCCTCATCCATGAAGGCTGAGGCTGTTGGAGGTTTTCCTAAGGGCAGGGCACATTCAGATAAGCAATGGAAATAGCAAACCAGGAGCAATCAAGAAGACAAATGGAAGGAAGTCTGGTGTGAGCCAGCACTGGCCCAGAGCAAGTTAGCCATGAGAGGGCCTGGTGAACCAGGGTGCTGAGGGTCAGGGGCTTTTCCAGGCTTCCAAGAAAACTGTCTTTATTCAAAAGGTGCACAGCTGTTTGTATAAACACTGAAATAAAAGGCAAGAATGGTAGGCTCCTTTCAAACTCTATGGCCTCGTCTTGCTGTACAGTTATTTTAATGAAGCCATTATTCATGATGATAAAATTCTAGAAAGATGTTGCATAATACATTTTTTCTCTTAATGAGATTTGTTGCCCTATTGATTTCAAGTTAATGCTTAATATGTAATTTAATTTACCCCCTGTAATTAGGGTGCTTGAATAAAATAAATGTTACTAGAATCCCAACAATAGTACTACTTTAACAGGGCCATCAATCAATACTGTCAATTAGGTGAATTACTCAATTAATTCAACATCAAGAACTCATGGACTGGCAAGGGAGCGAACAAAGCTCCAAGATATGTTGGGCAGTTATTGGTACAAAAAGGCAAGTGCCTGCTCCCCAAAGCAGGGTTAGGCAGACCTGTCCTGCCCTGTCTACATAGGAAGATCACAAATGGCAGCATTTACTGTCTAAATGGGAGGAGCCAATTCTATTTCCACCTGTCAGACCTGCTGCTTAGCATTGAATTGCTTTATATTCAGAAGGCCTGACAAGGTAACAAAAAATATTTGCAATGCAAAAGAAAAATCAAGTCAGTGAAGAATACTCTTGTAACATTTCCTGGACTTTATATGTTGGGGGTGAACCCTATGAATCAGTCAAGCACATCTGGCATACAGAGACAGCCATGTTACAAAATCCAGCCCAGTGCTGGAGGAGAGGAATAGGGTATCGCAGCCTCACTGTTGACAACTCTGGAAGCTGATACTGGGTAATCAGCTGACCACTGTGGGCTAGGATCTTCCTGCACTGTTACAATAGTCATATGTATATGATCCATCTACATGACCTTCTGGAGAAAATAAAACTCCAAAGACAATAAAAGGTGAGCCAGGGTGGGTGGAAGAAAAAAGGAAGAAAGAAAGGAGGGAGAGAAGGAGAGAGGAAAGAAGGCAGGGGGGACAGAAAAAGAAGGAAGGAACAAAGGAAGGAAGGAAAGAAGGAAGGAAGGAAGGAAGGAAGGAAGGAAGGAAGGAAGGAAGGAAGGAAGGAAGGAAGGAAGGAAGGAAGGAAGGAAGGAAAGAAGGAAAGAAGGAAGGAAGGAAGTTTCCAAGCAGAGAAACTATTCTGTGTGATATGATAATGGCAGATGCATGTCCTTACATTTGTCACACCCATAAGATGTACATGATAGTGGGAACAGTAATGTATTCATGTTGGTTGTGTGGAGCCCACCTGTTGATGGTGCCTTTTGGACCCTTCTCCCGTGGCAGGGCATCCAGATGGTGTGCGAAACGCTGACGGAGTGCTGGGACCATGACCCAGAGGCCCGTCTCACGGCTCAATGTGTGGCGGAGCGCTTCAGTGAGCTGGAGCACCTGGACAGACTATCAGGGAGGAGCTGCTCAGAGGAGAAGATTCCAGAAGATGGCTCACTGAACACTACCAAATAGCTCTTCTGGAGCTGTCCAGACCAAGTTCAAAGAGGCTGTATCATTACCAAAGAACAGAGGCAACAGCAGACTGCCCTGAACTGATGCTTCCTGGAAAAGGAAGGCATCCCTCCCTCCTATGTGAGCCATAGGCTGAGCAGAACCTGCAGCATCAGAGAATGAGTGTCAGAAAGCATTCTATGCCTTTGACCTTGTCATGGGATAAGCTGTGTTCGCACTTCCTCAGGAAAATAAGATTGATTTTTTTTTACAATAGCCAATAACATTTGCACTTTATTAATGCCTGTATATAAATAAGGAATAGCTATGTTTTATATCTATATCTATATATCTATATATATATCTTTATCTATATATACATATATCTATATAGCTACAGCCATACTCTGAAAAGAGACAAGGAAGAAGATCATATAGTTCCAGGAAATGGTTTCTGTTGAGTGAGAAGGACAGGATTCAAGATAGCATTGGCACTTGACAATCACATGCACCAGGGCTCTCTGACTATAGGATGGGAAGTCTTTGCAGAAGTAGATCATTCCTCAACTCCTGCTTTGCTATGTTGCATTTTCTTTAGCAATAATTACACATTTTCTTTTGCAATAATGACTCCCAGCACAAGAGGTTTTCCCTGGCCGTTGAGCTAAGGACAGTTGCACTGAGTTTGAGGACCATTATTCCTGGAGTTGCTTCTTCTGGGCTTTGCTCTTGATCCTCACACCCCATATCTAATGATTAGTGAATCTTCCTCACCCTAATTCAGAAACTCAGTCCTATCTAGAACTTTGAATGTCTTAAGCTCATCTTTTACTTTCACAGGCTGTAGGAAATTAGGATAATTTCTTTCTGTGAAATTGCCACGTTATCTACTAGTAAAATTGATCTTATGGACTCTCCTATACTATGCCACTATGGCCCACTCCCAAACTTTATTCTTTCCTAAGAGGGAACTGCTCTTCCTATCCCTCTCTCCCCATCTCTGGGGCTCTTTGTTTGTAATTTTTGGCACACTTCTGCTTTGTCTCCAGTTTGCTATGCAAACACCCAGGGGGTTCCATTTTCTGCTCAGTACATTCTGTCCTAGTGGAGGATTTGAACACAATACTGCCACTCCTCAGGCACTTTAAATAGATGTTTGGCTTGTATATTTACAGTATTTTTTTAAAAGAGTGAGCCATTTTAAAAAAAGTAGTTGAAGATTTTGCAGTAAAATCTGGAACCCAGGTAAGACTAGTAAATGGTTTCCAGTTTGGTGAGTCTGTACCGCTTCATAAAGCTGTAGACACTTCAAAAGCTGCTTTACTCTTTACTGTAAACATTGGTGATTCCTGCCACCCATGCCCAGCCCAGTCTAGGGATGAAAACTGCCCCTAACCAAGATCCCTGTGAGAACTGTGCATTCAGACAGCCCTTCTCTGGCTGCAGAATTGTGTTTGACTCCTTTTCTGGTGATAATATTCTAAGTCGACCCTTTATTAGACTAAAAGGGGCCCCTTCTTTGCCCATGTGGTCCTGACCAACCCAGGTCTCTTTTATTCCCTTTGTATGTGAGTGGCAGCTCTTTCTCCAGGTAGCCTTTGTCCTGGCTGCCAGTGGCTACACTAGGCTTGTCATCCTCCTCTATGCAGAAATCACTAGTGAGGACTTCAGCATCCCATGTGCCGTTAGGAAATCAGTGTCTACTGAGACAAGAACAAACTATGAGTTTTAATACTCTATAGGAAACTTGTTAATCCATGAACAAATGTTAATGCTGCAAGCAACTATGTCTTCTTTAAAAAAATGTTTTGAAGCTACTTACTTTCAGCCAAATAGGAATATGAAAGAGGGACTGACAGTGAACTGAACAGCTGCTTGGATTGTGGGAGGGTTCATCTCAATGAGGTGTTAGGGTACACACTAGAATTGGGGTATACTTCACACACCCTGCTTAGTGAAGGTGTGCCTGGAGAGCTCAGGATATGGGCTGAGCCAGTGCCTGAGTACCCTAGAGACCCAGGAATGCCACTTGTGCCTAGAGCTTGCCAGGCCAATAGCTGTGGCTCATTGACCTCTAGTGGTGAATTCTAGAATATTGGTCTGGGGGATATCCCAGATTCAAGAGAGTTTTTACTTCCAGGTCATGAGCATAAACTGGAACATAGTGTCAGACAATATACTGTGGCTTGTTTTCTTGATTTTTTTTCTTATCCAAAAAAGTGACCAAGGAATAACATTCTGTAGTTCCTACAAATACTGAGTTTTCTTCACTACTCTATGCAAAGGAACAGTTTTATTCTCTTATGGGATATTTCAGCCATACTCATGTATTAAAATAGGAATGTGAATGCTCAGAACTCAACAATACCAAGAACTTATTTTAATTCTATGCATCATTTGCCTTTTATATAAGGAAAATGTTTATTAGATTGAATAAAGCAAAATGCTCAGGTGAGCTGCCTGTCTCCTGTGGTTATTGCTAGTGTATAATTCCATTAATGTCACTTGATTGTTTTGCAGTGTGTGATGATGTCACTGGCACATCTGCTCCAGCTGAGTCATGTATATTGTCTTCTTCAACTGACCATCTTGTTCCTTGAGAAACAGATCCATCCTAGTACTTCACAAATAGAAGATGGAGTGGTTGTTTTCTTGTAGACTGCACCTTATCCCTCTGCCCTTTCAAAAACCAACTTAAAGGATGCTTTTGCTGGCTTTTTCAAAGTCTCCCAACTTTGTATCTTTGCCCTTTGATCTGAATTATCCTCTACTGTGTTCAATTTGGCAATCCCCGTTTGTAGGAGAGAAAAAAAAAAAGGCCTTAGATAACCATCTAATGGAAGGAAAAGTGCCCCTCAGACAGGCAATGTCTTATTATCTTAATGCAGACAGTCTCAAACAGGAGATCACCCTGTTCCTGTTCCAGTTCTAAAGCGGTAAAATTCCCTAAAATTCTTCTTGGGACAGAGACTAAGCTAATGATCAGTTTGGCCATACCTTTGACTTGAGACTGTTTTAAGTGTGCATATCGTTCTTACCCTCTTCTCTCAATCTTCTTTTCTAACTGGAAGCCATTGTCTGTGCCCCAGAAAACGGTTGGCCATGAAATTGTGTATTGTTTTCCCATGGCTGCCATGTCATTGCTCTCCTTTCTCTGCCCTCCATTCAGTCTTTTCTTTTTCTTTTTGGCATATATGGGAGAGTGGGTATACCTTACTTGGGACTCCTGGAATTTGGGCCTGAGGTACAAATGCCCAGCTTCATTCTGCCGTGGTGTCCTTCCAGGGGCCACGTGACCTCCCCTCATCACAGGAGCTGCTTTGACCCACAGAGCTATTTGTCCCAGTGACTTCACAGTGCAGGCTGTGGACGCAGAAGCTCCCACTTGTTCAGTTTTCTCCATTCCTCATACTAGCAGGCTATTGACTGTCTTGGATGTCTGTCCTGTGACACACTTCCCACATCCTTTCTTCCTGGCCACTGGATCCCCTTTGTGCTCCTCAGTGATTTATTTGAATGGCAAGATGAAAACACTTTAGGAAATGGATTCCACACTATTGCTTGAAGGTATACATGTGTATTTGCATGTGCATTTGTGTGTGTGTGTGTGTGTGTGTGTGCATGGTATGTGTGTATGTGTGCATGTGTTGGTGGCATTTTAGCCACCCTTCTACTTCTGGTGGCTTCTTTTGGTTAATTAGAGGTAAGAGTCTCTAGGATTTTCCTTTCTGGAGCTGGCTTTGAACTAAAATCTTCAGATCTCAGCCTCCTGAGTAACTAGGTTTATATGCATGAGCCATTGGTGCCTGGCAAGAGTTTCTTGTGATAAAGCAGATTGTATCTTTTCTGCCTATACTTCAAACTACCTGATATGGGATCTGTGGGATGTTGTGACTTCTAAGTTATCACTTGGTTCAGAACCACTATGTTGCTAGTTACTATGGTAGTGTCTATATCAGTGTCAGTGTCACCATCCTCCACACTGCTGACATTTTATGTCAATGATTCTGGATTGCAGGAGAGAGAAAGTTGTCTTGTGTGTTATAGTATCTTTGGCAACAGCAGTGTTCTTTACCTACTAAATACCAGACATACGAAACCCACACTGAAAAGTTTGTCCAGACATTGTCATATGTGTGCTAGGGAATAAAATCCCTCTTTGGTAAGAATTACTGAGATAGGAGATGGAGTCCTATTGTGGGCATGGCTATAGTCAAATTTCCTCCTCCACTTTCAGCCGTGAGATTGGGTCAAATGACTTAACCTCTCTCCATGTTGCAGTTTCTCCATGTATAAGGTGGGTTTTCACCGCCTCATTACATACAGATGTGCCCTCTGCTAAACTATACACCCAATATTTTGGAATTGTCTTGAACTTGGGAAAATCTTCAATCATGTGGGCCAATACAAGCACTTGATTTAGAAATGACCAAGTGCTGCTTTTACATATTGGGGGATTTTGAGGAGCATATGTTATTACACAGAGAAACTAGATAAGTTCCACAGGCCATAGGATAGAAACGGATCCAACTGTGTGAGGCTTGCTCATCTGAGGAAAGCTCTCATTCACTGAGTGCCTGCTGTGTCATGGGATTTAATCCTCCAGTGGTCTGGTAGATGAATAGCATATTCATTTACAGAGGAAGAACTCAGTTCCCAGAGCTTAAGGAAGAAGCCCAAAATCTCAGGATGCAGCATCTGGCTATAAATACAAGTTACCTGGGACCTGGCATGTGAAAGAACTATCATTCATGGTTCTTTTCTTTGTTTTGTTTTGCACCAGCATGGGGCCTTGAATTCAGGGCCTAGGTGCTGCCCCTTAGCTTTTTGGCTCAAAACTGGTACTTTACCACTGAGCCACAGCTCTACTTTCAGCTTTTGCTGGTCAGTTGGTGGTAAGAATCTCATCGATTTTCCTGTGCAGATGGCTTTAAGCCTTGATCCTCAGATCTCAGCCACTTGAATAGTGAGGATTACAGGTGTGAGCCACCAGAAGCTGATGATGCTTAGTTCTTTTCTCTGTTTCATGCTGTTTCCTGAAGGAACTGGCCTACCTAGTAGGACAAAAATGTCACCCCATGATAAAATTCTACAAGGCCCCATCTATTCAGCAGGAGTTGTCCTTATCTTTCTCCTTCCAGCTCCATTTGTTGCATGAAAGCCAAGAAGATAACCATTCATGGCATTATTCAATGTGCTTGCCACTCACCTGGTAAGTATTGTCTAAATACTTGCTGAGAGAACAATTGGAAGATGAGTGAATGTGTGTAGACAGTGTTCCCTGGGTGTAAAATGTGAACTTATTACCTGAGGTGATTTCAGAATGTGCTAACCTTTAAGAACGTTATTTTTCCTGGGCACTGGCGGCTCACCCTATAATCCTAGCTACACCGGAGGAGGCTGAGATCTGAGGATCCTGATTCAAAGCCAGCCCAGGCAGAAACGTCTGTAGACACTTAGCTCCAATTAACTAGCAAAAAGCCAGAAGTGGAGCTATGGCTCATGGGTAGAATACTAGCCTTGAGCAAAAAAGCTAAGGGACAGTGCCTAGACCTTGAGTTACAGGCGCACACACACACACACACACACACACACACACACAAGAACATGATTTTTAGTGTATCTGCCTTTATTTTAACATATTTTAGAAAAATTAGTAAGCCTATACTTTTACAACTATGACCTCTTGAAATATAGATGAATAAAAATTTGAAAATAAAAAAATTTTAAAAATTGAATTAAGTACAGAATGGCACTGATTTGTGGTAATTTCAGGAGATGTAAATATGAATGATGAGGAACTCCATCCAAGGAAGAAAAGCTGTATCAATTGCTAACACTTACGGAGCACCTACATTGTTACAGAAACGTGTACACTGTTCTCTTCTTTGCCTTTATCTGCTTTTATCCTTAAGACAAACCTATGCAGTCATCTTATCTATTATAGATAAGAAAACTTTAGCAAGATCTTCCTAAGGGACCCCTAGCTAGCAGTCATTAACACCAAGATTTGAACTAAAGCAACTGGGTTCCAAGAGGTGAAATTCATATGCTGAACACCAGTAGGAGCCTCTGAAGATCTCACATGTCTGAGAAGGAAGGTAAGTTAGCACTTGAGGGGAGGAGCTGGCTACTCAATGCCCAGGGAGAGAAAATTCTTCCTTTAGTGCGCAAAGGACTCTGGGCTCAGGCCCAAGAGCTTCAGCCAAAACAGGAGTCAAGGTCTTCTAACCACTCTATACTCTGTTTTGGAGTTTCAGTACTGGCTACTGCAAGGCTAGGAGAATTCACAGTTGGGAGTGTGCCTCAAAGTGCCCTCAGCAAGGATTCTATCCCTTTGACTAAACAGCATCTTTGAATGGAAGACATAGCCCAGTGCTGATGGCTCAAGCCTGTAATCCTGGCTATTCAGAAGGCTAATATCTGAGGATTGCAGTTCAAACCAAGCCTGAGCAGAAAGTCTGAGAGATTTTTACCTACAGTTAACCACCAAAATGCCAGAAGTGGAGCTGTAGCTCAAGTGATAGAGCGCTAACCTTGAGCAAAAAAGCTAAGGGATAGCATCCTAGGCCCTGAGTTCAAATCCCAGTTCTGGCACAAAAAACAAAAAATACAAACATTAAAAAAAAAAGAACTTTACTTTGTGCCCTACAGTTCCTAATTTGTGGTGGTTTGGTGTTTAACTTTCTATGCAAATGACATGCTAATAGACTAGTCCTGAGGGAAATTCCTTCCCTAAAGGACTGACTGGGAACTTTTCATTTAGACAGGCTTGTCTATCCATTTTCACTAAAGCAACCACATTTAGCATTGGCTCATTTTGATCATTTTCCTCCCGAAATAGCAGCCTAATCATTGCTTATCACAATTCTAATTAGTTTCTATAAAAAAAGAAACTTGAATAATTATAGCTCCATACTCTGTGGGTTTGGGGCCATGTCTATCAGCCCTACTTTGCAAACTATGCCGATAAAGATAAGACTATGAACTTGCCCACATTACATGGTCTGCCAGTCAATCTCACAATGTGATTTAATTTAATGCTGATATACCTCCTGATTTTCAGTGCATTTAAAAGTAACTTAACAGTCTTCCAATGCTGATTAAGCTAAAATTTCACACACCTTAAAGCTTGTTCTGTTGGCTCTCTCTCTCTCTTTTTTTTACACATACACATACACATAATTTTTTTTTCCTTTGGTGCAGTCCTGGGGGTTTGAACTCAAGGCTTTGGTGCTATCCTTGAGGTTTTTGTTTGCTCAAGGCTAGAGCTCTACCACTTAACCCACTGCTCTACTTCTGGCTTTCTGATGGTTAATTGGAGATAAGACTCTGATAGATTTTCCTTCAGGGGTTGGCTTCTAGTTGAGATCCGCAGGCTAAACCTCCTGAGTAGCTAGGATTACAGGTATGAGCCACTGGCAGTTGACCTTATTGATTCTTTTTTGTTGTTGT